TTAATTTTTGTTGTTTTGTATTATTATCGTGTTCGGTGTGTACACGCACTCACGCACTCACGCACTCACGCACACACACAAAGGTAACACACCACATACATAATACATATATATATATATATTTTAAATACCATTTTTTTAATATTGATATGGATTGGTCACACGACGTATAAATGGTGGATAAACCGTTCAAAATCCGAGAAAGAGAGAGAAAGATAGAGATAGATAGATAGATAGATAGAGTGAGAGAGAGATAGAGAGAGAGAAAAACGGTCGAAACGTTGGCTGCCCTCGGTGAACGCGCACGCGAAATAACATTGGTAAATTAAAATAAAAAAAAAAAAAACAGAAAAAAAAAAGAAAAAAAAAAAAATATTCGTCAGTGACGCGATGCCATCGTATCGAGTGTGACGGTTTAACACATAAGACAACAAAAAAAAATAAAAAGTTTATTATTATTATTATTATTATTGGCGGACATTAATAATTTTTTTTATATAAATATATTTTTATCATCAAACAAAGGATAAATAAATAATAATGAAAAGGAATGATTTTAAGACGTTGAATTGGTGACTCTTTCTCCCTTCCCCCCAACAAACGGGAAAAGGTATTAATAATAATAATAAATGAACCTTTTGTGTGTGTGTGTTTGGTGCCTCCTCCCGCGCTCCGCACAACCGGAATTTTATTTTATTTATTTAAAAAAAAAAAAAAAGTTTTTTTTTGTTTTATTTATTTTAGAAAAAAGGCAAAATGTTTGTTTGTTTGTTTGTTTGTTTGTTTGTTTGTTTGTTGTTCGTAATATAATCGTTTGTACCGTCGTCGTTTTGGTTTTTTTTTAAAAAAAAAGTTTCTCAAATTGTTTTTTTTTTTTTTTTGCATGGAAAACGGAAATGAATTATTTTATTTGATTTTACAATTTAAATTTAACAATTATATTTTTCTCACGCGAAAAAAAAAAAATTTTTTTTTCCTCTATTAAAATCAACAAATAATAATAATAATAATAATAATAATTAATAAAAACACAGGAAAGGGAAAAAAAATTTGCTTTTTATAATAATAATAATGGCGCGCCCTTTTTCATTTTCACACACACACATTTATAATATTAAATTAGATATTTAAATAAAAAATATGCGAATGTGCGTGTGCGTGCGTGTGTGTGTGCGCGCGCGAGTATTTATTTGTAAAAAAGAAAATTGAAATTTGTATGTTAGTGTGACGTTTTTATTAAAATAAAAAATAAATAATTATCAGTTGTGGGTTAACAAGTAACTAATATTTTTAATTTATTTTATAAAAAAAAAAAAACGGTTTTTCTTTTTTATGCACACACACGCCCACGCTTTTTAAAAAATTTTCACGTATGTATACACACGCACACACGCACACACACACACTCTTGTACGTACGTATCGGTGAGTGGTCGTCGTCGTATATTTATATATATATTTAAATAAAAAATTATTCAAGACACTTTCATTTATGACGTTTATTGATTTTACATTTAAAAAAAATTTTTTTTTTTTCTCGGGTCAGACATGGTTGAATAAAAAAATGAAAATTTGTTGGCCATTCGCCGTATTTATTTATTTTTTTTTTTTTGACCCGTGAAACAAATTTTTTTTCTTTTATTTTTTACCTTTTAGATCGATACAATTATTTAACCTTTCACAATAAATAAATAAATATTTACGTACATTAACGAAATAAAAATTTTTTTGTTTGCTTTTATTATTATTATTATTTTATAAAACACACGAGTTATAATTTTTTTCCTTTTTTTCCTCTCCCCCCCCCTTTTCTTTCTCATTCCACCGTGTATTCCTTTATATCCCTCCCCATCATTTTATTTTAAAAAAATCTTTTTTAACTTATCATTTAGTTTTAATCTTATCATTTTAAATAAGAAAAAAATTTTTTTTTTTTTAACTCGAAAATGTTTATAAGAATTGAATTTATTTAAAATAAGGAATCATAAGTTGTTGTTATAATAATAATAATAATAAATTAATTAATTAAATAATTTTTTTTTGTGTTTTTTTTTTTAAAGAAACTTGATGTGAATTCTATTTGAAGAGAGAAAGAGAAGAACGAAAAGGAAGAGGAGGAGAAGGAGAAGGAGGAGGAGGAGGAGGAGGATGACGACGGAAGAAAAAGAAAAAAAAAAATTAAATCTCTGGATTTGTTGAGAAAATGAATTGAAATGTGAATTTTCATATATAAAAAATCGTCGTCTGACGTGAGTCGGTCGAAAAAGGAAAAAAAAAAGGAAAAAGTGTAACGCAATGTTTTTTTATATATAAAAAATCCCGTTTTCTACGAATTCACAAAGGTAAGATTAATAATAATAATAATAAAAGGAAAATTGTTTTTTTTTTTTAAATTATACATAAATATACGTAAGGTAAATATTTTATTTATTAACCGACCGTGAATTGATTTTTATTTTTACGGACGAGTAAATTATTTTCTTTTTTTTGTTTTGTTTTTAAATCAATTTATTATTTAACCTTTTAACCTTTTTAACCGGAAAATAAAACGTTTGGGTTATTTTCCGAATGTTTTACACACACACACACATTTATCACATTGGGGGGGGAGGCAAGGAGGTAGGGAGGGTTTATAATTTACGGTTCGAACACACGGACAATGCAATAATCTACAGGTAATATTATTATTATCATTAAATGACGAAATAAAAAAAAAGTTTTGTCTCTAATTTTAATTAATTTACGGTTTCGTTTTTTTTTTTTTTTTTTTTAATTATTAAACGAGGTAATTAAACTATAGAAGAGAGAAAAAAATTTCAACTTTTTTTTTTTCCCGCTCTTGTTTCATGTTTTTAAACTTTTCATCAAATTTTTTTTTTCTCTTTTAAAACTCTTCATTTTCTTTTATATGTTTCTCGACATTTTTTTTTTTTTTTTATTACTTTAGTCTTTTTTAAAACGACGTAAATTGTACACTTGATGGATATAAATAAAAAGTGGATTTTTTTTTCTTCACAAAAATCATTTCATGAATCCATCCATTCGATATTGAAAAAAAAAAGGTTCTTTTTCGAAAATTTGATTTGTCATTTTTTATTTAAATTTTCTTTTTTTTAAAAAAAAAAAGAAATTTGTTCACATTTTGAAATTGGACATTATTATTTAAAAATTTTTTTTTTTCTGTCTCTTTTGACGTTCATTTTTTTTCACTTTAATTTTCCATTAAATGAAAAATCTTTCATAAAATAAATTTTCAATCATAAGTCATTTGACGAGAAATTGATTTTTAAAATAAATAATAATGATAATTTTTAAATGTGACATTTAATTAAATAAATAATAATTTTATTGTTTGATCGACGTTGAAATTTAACAAAATAATAATAATAATAATAATAATAATAATAATAATAATAATAATAATAATAATAATAATAATAATAATAATAATAATAATAATAATTTACCGTAGATTTCTAAAAAGAAATTAAATAAATTTAAATTTTTCGTAGGCTTGATCTCACATCGTTTTCTCTCTCTTTCTCTCTTCCATAAATTGTTATTATTATTATGTTTTTCTTTTTTTCCAGATATAAATATATATATATTTTTTTTTATGTACAAGAGTCACAAAAATGAATAGTTGAGACTCGGAGGAAAGAGAAAAAAAAAAAAAAAGTTAAAAATTACCGGTCGAATAATATTCGTATGGAGGGATCTAATTATAGTATAATTCATTCAGTTTTAATAGCAGCCGATAACGATACAAGTTATTTTGTTATAACAAACACTCAGTCACCGTCGACGGGTAATTTTGTTAAGAATAACACTCAGGATGGTTTCGCGACATTTTGGTTTCCCGGTGAATTTTCTCCGTATTCCGTAACGGAAGCAATAATAATAGCTATAATACTCTTGCTTATTATCGTCGGAACGGTCGTGGGCAACATATTGGTGTGCATCGCGGTGTGTTTGGTTAAAAAATTAAGGCGACCTTGCAATTATCTATTAGTTTCTCTTGCCGTGTCTGATATTTGCGTCGCCGTTTTGGTCATGCCCATGGCGACACTTTACGAAATACTCGGAAAATGGAGTTTCGGACCGGTCATGTGCGATTTGTGGGTGAGTTTCGACGTGCTTTCTTGCACGGCTTCCATATTAAATCTGTGCATGATCAGCGTCGACCGTTATTACGCCATAACTAAACCCTTACAATACGGAGTCAAAAGAACTCCAAGGAGAATGATATTGTGCGTGAGTTTAGTTTGGCTGGGAGCTGCGTGCATAAGTTTGCCGCCGTTGTTGATATTAGGGAATCAGCACGAATTGAATAACACCACTCAGTGCATTGTGTGTCAAAACTTTGCATATCAAATATATGCCACACTCGGAAGTTTTTACATACCCTTGACGGTCATGATGATAGTTTATTACAAAATATTTCGTGCAGCTAGAAGAATCGTACTCGACGAAAGGCAATCCAGGAGTCATTTGGAATCCCACTGCTGCTTAGACGTGAACGTTGGAAACGGGGGATGCACTCACGTCGTACAATCGATTTCTTCTTCTCCGGCGGTTTCGACTCCGGGAGTCACAAACAGGGTGCATCATCATCATCATCATCATCATCAACACAGATCGAGTACCGCGAGTACCGTCACCACCGTAAGTTGCTTTCACTTGTTTCATTCGTATGCGAATGTGTGTGTGTGCGTGCGTGTTGCGTCCCTAAGAGTTTTCCGAAACAATTTATTATTATTGACAAATCTGATGAAATAAAAATCATCAAGATTTTGAAAAAAAAAACGTATATAAAATTATTATTATTATTTTTTATTTTCTCCAGTCTAAATGTTTATTCTTCTTTTCCATTAGTCATGACTTAGTCATGGCGCCATATTGATTCTATTATATATATTTTTTTTTAACAAAATATTTTCTTCGGTGAGTCGTCCGTCGTCAATCAAAATCGTCATGAAAATAATTTTTAACGAATTAATTATTAATCAAAAATTATTTATAATAATTATTATTATGATTAAACAAGAGAATATTGACACCGTTTTAAAAATTCATCGGCATAGTACACACGCACCGCCCACACGCGCATTTATATCTACACTCTTATTTTAATTAATAAGACTTTAAATATATTATCATTATTATTTTAATTTTTAAATTAAAACGCCGAGCGCTGGAAAAATGAAATAAGTAAAATCTAACATTGAATTTATAAAAAAAAAAATTTTAATAAAAACAAATGGATGGACGACAGGTGCGTGTGTGTGGGGGAGGAGGAGGGGGTAGGAGCTATAATTTTCCGATTCCGGGTACGTCGCCTGTCCGACAATGATTAAACTGAAATCGCAATAATAAAAATTTTAACTGCTTTATTATTAAAAAAAAAACATGGTGACATTTGAAATTAAAAAAAAAAAAAATTGATCATTTTTAATAAAACTTGTTTTTAACTGACGAAAACCTTTTTTATAATTGCGGCTACCAGCTCATCATCATCATCATCCATCGTTGCTGTTGTTTTCCTATTTGATTCAAAATCCTTTTTTGAACCTTTTTAAAATTTATTAAATTTTTACGAATGTTATACACCCTGTCAGTAAAATAAATCGTTTATATTTGTTTCAGTGTAGCGGAGTTACGAACATAAGCACTCGTTGCTTTCCCAGAACTTCTAACGAATCCCAAGGTTCGGCATTGAAAAATCATTCGGAAAGAGAAGGAAATCATCGGGGGGAAAAAATCGCGGAGGCAACAGTCAAATTATTTCCGGTTACAGGAAAAAATCAGTTTCTAATTTTGGAGCATCGACGAGTCAAAAACGTATAAGATTTCAATTGGCCAAAGAGAGGAAAGCATCAACCACCCTCGGTATAATAATGAGCGCATTCACTGTTTGTTGGCTTCCTTTTTTCGTATTGGCCATAGTGAGGCCATTTCTCAACGAGCAAAGTTCCATACCGGCATCGCTTTCGAGTCTTTTCCTATGGCTGGGATACGCCAATTCACTTCTTAATCCCATCATATATGCAACTTTAAACAGGGATTTTCGTAAACCTTTTCAACAAATTCTCTACTTTAGATGTTCCACGCTCAACGACATGATGAGAGAAGAATTTTATCATTCGCAATACGGGGATCCCCATTACACGGCCATAAATAATTCCAACATTGTACCGATGGAACGTCCGGAAGATCGTCAACCATCTTCTAACGTTATAAATAATGAATCTTTTCTGTGATTAATTAAAAATAAAATAAATTATGCTCATTTTTCGATAATGATTGTCCGGCGAACGTTTTGGGTTTTTGACTTTCGTACACGAACCAAAAACCGCACAAAAAAACAGACACACGCACACACACACACACACGCGTGTGTGTTTCATAAACCAAAAAACTAAAACTAAAAAATGCCTTCTACACAAAATAAAAAAAAAAAAAAAACAAAATCAAAAGCAATACGTTTTTCATTGTTCGTTTTTTTTCACTTTACCGGAAAATTTTCACTTAATTTTTTTTATATACATAAATAAATTTCGTATATCCTGACTTTTAAAATACCTCTTTAAACTAAATATTATTATTATTATTATTATTATTATGTGGATTTTGATATTTTTAGATTAGTAGGCCGAATGTAAAAAAAAATTCTGGAAAATGATTATAAGAAAAAAAAAAACGAACAAACGGGTTTATTAAAGTGTCAAGTTGAATAAAACAAACACAAAAAGTTTCATATGAATATTTAAATGTATGGGAAATGTACGAGTGACCTTAATGCGTTTAAATGATAATAATAATAATAATAATAATAATAACACGCTGGAGAAAAAAAAAAGAAAAAAAAAAATTTTATTTTATTTTATTTAATATTAGTTTTGGGCTGTGACAATCACATTAAAAAAAAAAAAAATTTGACTGCTGCTCTCGCTTTATCTTTTTTTAATCCTCAAATCTTCTATGAAAAATCATTATTATTATTATTATATTATTCTATTTACTCACCACCACCACCCCCACCTCTTCCATCATCATCATCATCATCATCGTAATTACCATTATTTTTTTTCTGTCCTTTTTCATTATTATTATTAAAATGGAAAAAATCAATTTTTTTTCCCCCCTTCATTTTAACAATATTATTATTATTATTATTAATGTTTTCTTTTTTCCCTTCATCTCGTATTATTATTATTATTATTAAGAGTAAGGAAAATAATGAAATGAAATAAGAGGAAGAAAAATTGTACGGAAAACATATCGATCATGAAAAAAAAAAATGTCAGACAATAAAAAAGGTCAAATTTTTATTTATTTATTTATTTTTTTTTTCTAATTCTAAAAAATTTCGAAAATAAATAAATAAATAAATAAACAATAATAATAATTTTATATTTATTGTCATCCATATGTATGTTATGTATTTTTTATTAAAAAAGTATTTTCCGAAATTTAAAGATTATAAAGTAAATATTAAAATCAATTTAATTCCAAATTTGTAAATTAATTATTATTATTATTATGATAATCCATCGATAATTAATTTTATTAATAAATAAATAAATAATTTATTTATTTATTCAATTTCAATAAAAATAAAGTTAAATAAATGTCATTTTTCATAAAAAAATAAAAACAATTTTCCCCGTCGTAAGTTAAAAAGAAAATTTCTTTTTTTTTGTTATTGAAAAGCATGCGTGAAAATTTTCCGGTCGATGAAATGAATTTTCTCCGCGGGTTTTTTCGTTTTTTTATACGACCAGGATAAAATTAAATCATTTTCCATATAAAAAAAAAACAAATTTAATCACTTTTTTTTTTTTTTAAAAAAATGGTTTTCGAAACCATTGGAAATTCTATTTAAAACCATTTTAATAAACAAATAATAGAATAAAAAAAAAAAAAATCATAAATTTTCATTATTATTATTATTATTATTATTACTTTCCCCCCTCCCCCCGTTTTATTAAACAAGGTACGACACTTATTAATAGTCATTTTGTAATAGTTTTTGAAATGGGAAAAAAAAATTAGTAACATTTGTTTATGTTTTTCTTTATTAAAAAAAAAAAATACTTGAATCAATTTTTCCAACCGGCTTCACATCATCAAAAAGAAAGAAAGAAAGAGAGAGAGAGAGAGAGAGAGAGAGAGAGAGAAAGATAGAAAGAGTGGTTTTTTTTTTTCTTACCTCAGATGGAAGGAAAAATGAAGGATCTTATAATAATAATAATAATTTTTATCATTATCTATTTAAAATGATAATAACTTACACTCATAGATTTTAAAAAGATGGCCGGACGAAATTATTATTATTATTATTATTTTTTTTCTTTTTTTTTTTTGTTTTCTTTTGCAATTAATAAACCGATTTGAGTGACCCAAGTTGATATTCTCGGATAATAAAAAGAAAATCTTAACTTTTTAGTAACCGGTTGTTTTTCTAAATACCATCCGTAACTGTAAAATAATTATATATTAATTAATAAAACAAATTAACCTCCTCCCCCTCCCCCTCATTATTTTATTTTTCAAATTCTTACTCCATGGAAGTTGTTATGGGTTCTTTATATTTATCTCTTGGTAAAAGATTTTTTTTTTCATAAATAGCTTTTTCTATTAATGGATCTTGGAAATTTGGATCTGGAGCATCGTGCCAAGCGTAAAATTTTCCAGTTACAGGCAAAACTAAAAAAAAATTTATCACGTTAAATTATTTTACATAAAGAATAATTTAATAAATAATAATAATAATAAGAGTGTGTAACCTGTTAAATTGGGTTGATATTCACGGGGTTTTACTGCATAAAATTTATTTTCTTTTTTATTTATTTCAGTTTGTACAGTGTTATTTATTATAACCATTATTTAATTTTGTTTTTTTTGTTTTTTTTTTTTTTTTTAAACCAAAAAAAGAAAAAATTAATTTTTTTTTGTAATTTAAAATTAGTGTGACCGAAAAACAATTTTACATTTTTTTTTTATTTTCCCGTTTTTTTTTTTTTTTTTCTTTTTTTTTCAAATAAAAGAAAACGGAAATAATGAAGAGAATCATGAGGTGATTGTGTATTTATGCAATAATTTTAATTATTATTATTACATTTATAAAAATTTAATTAAATAAATAAATGAGAAAAGGATTCAAACGAATAAAAATTTATTTTAAAAATAATTTATTTAACTATGTTATAATTTAATAATTGTAACAGAAAAATCAAACAATAAAAAAAAAGAAAGAAAAAACAATAAAAATCACTAACGATTAATTACTAACATAATTATGTATTAATCATTAAAGATTTCTATGTATATATGTAAATAGGTCGATAATCCAACGTTTAAATTTAATAAATATATATACTCTCTCGTTCCGAACAAAAGTTTTCAAGAACTTAAACACTTTTTTTTTTTAATTGATTACACTATAAATATTAACAACGATATACATGATTTTTATCATTAAAAATTGTCTGTTGAAATTTACGGCAATTATAAAGCCATTTAACGATTCGAGCGTTTCTTTCAACTATAGAAAGACATTCGGTAGCCTTAAATGTTTCTGGAACGTTCCAAATAGCTACATCCACGCACGAATCCACGGAACTCACGCTTGAAAAATACACTGGTGAAGTTTTACCTGAATTATTTGATGCTAATTCTCTAAAAAAAACAAACGAGTAAAAAAATTTAATTAATTTCTTTCATTTTGATTATAATAAAAATAAATAAATAAATGATAATTTCCTCACTTGTAATCAGCGGGATCCATTCCTAAATTATTAAAAAAATTTTCCAATTTGTCAGTTGCCACCGTAGAAGGTTGTATTGAAATTGACAAAACCGGTTTTACTTTATTTGAACAATATTTATGAGAAATGTCTGATTTCGATCGTAATATTGGTTTTTTTTTAACCGAAAAAAAACTTAATTTCCTATTTAAAAAAAACGTTTCAAACGTTTATATTTTTAATTATTTAAAATCGGTTATACGAATAATAAATATAAAAAAATAAAAAGGAAAACATTACCGACAAGGAGAAGGAAAATCATCTTCGGTACCGGAATCGCTCCATGAGCTCTTTGGAGAAGAATTATATTCTGGTAAACCTGATCTTCCAGTTCTTAATCCAATTGAACCTCCTTGACTTTGACGACCGCTATCAGCCGACTGAAATTTATTATTATTATTTTTTTTTTGTTTTCTTTATTCTAATTAACATAAATTAATTTTTAATAATTTCGATAATTATTAACCTGAGAATACATTGAACTAGAATTATGACGACTTCTGTTACAACTAGATGTGTAACTGCTTCGCCTTTGACAAGAAGATTGAATTTGAATCCCTTTTGAACTGGAAAATTCTCCACCGTTGTTGGTCATGTGAAAACTAGCTAAAATAAATAAATAAAACAAATTAACATATATACGGACAACCGTTCGCGAACGGACGGGAGAGTATAAAAACAATCAATTTAGTTGAAATAAATTAATTTAATTTAAAAAAACTAACCAAACCATTTTGAATGATTTCTACACAAATAATTTTTACAATCAATATTTGATTTTAAACAACGTCCACGATTATCAATATTTTTTCCATGATTTTTATGTCTCATTGATCCGGTCAATGTAGAATAAACGCTTCTGGAATCACCGTTGTATTCAATGTTAAAACTTTAAAACAAACAAAAAATTTTTATCAAAACATCATAAAAACAGAAAAAAGGATTTTTCTTTTCTTTTGGTTGGAAATTACCTGGAATTGCTACTTTCGTCAGATGAATATTCTGGAGAAACATGTAAATCTGGTAATGATTTATGTTGAAAACAAGTCGTTTGACCAAAATTATTTTGACCGGAAAATGATATATTGCTGCTCTGAAAAACAAACAAAAAAATGTTAACTTTAGCATTAAAACAAAAAAAAATTATATATATACATTTATATACATAAAAAAAAACTCACTTTATTATTATTATTATTATTATTTGAACAAGTTGCATCGATTGAATCTAAATCTAATAATATTCTTAATTTATTCTGGAGTCTATTTCCTTTTTCATCACAATTTTGATTTTTTGTATTTGATTCGAAATTAATAGCAACATTTTTAACTGGAATAATAAATTTCATGATAAATTGTGTTGATCAATGTGTTTGTCATCCATGTTTAATTTTTTTTACCTGGTTTAAATTCTTGTTTATTATCTAATACGATTTCGGATTTAACGTAAAAGGCTTTTGTTTCTTGCAACATTTGTACAGCACTTTTTTTCTTAGGCGAATCGCTACTTTTCAACGAATGATGGATGGACTTTGATGAATTGATTGCACGCAAAGACGCTACTTGGGGATGACGAAATTTGGTTGTCATCCTCCTTAAGCCTACAATTAACTACCCTCTTTCATAATGACTCAATCGACTAAAAAACCTACAAAACAAAAAAAGAAAAACCAATTAAAAAGTAAAAAAAAAAACTTTTTTTACTTCAACTTTATATTTTTCATTCACTCACTTAATTTTTTGTAGATTTCATGGTATCCTATTTTTGTCAACCTTTTGAAACTTTTTCTTTTTTTTGTTGTTGTTGTTGTTGCTGTTGTTTCCCTCTATAGATTTTACTAAAAAAATTAAATATATTTAAGATTGTGTAATGGATCGACACCGAATATCAATATGATGGTCGTCTACCTGTACGCGTCGAGATTGAAATATATCCAAATTATCTTCCGATGGCCATTGTGCTATCGCTTGCCTTTCCAAATCGTCAAATGCGTTATCTTCGAGGCTATCAAACAATCTCACGTTTCCCATTCCCTCGGGAATCCCTTTTTTTTCGCTTGTCGAACCGTAATTAAAACTTTCTTCGTCCGACAATTCACGATATTGAGCGTTCAATATAGGCCGATATTTGGATTTGCTATCATAGGAATTGGTCGCATAATCTCGAATCAAATTTGTATTACAGGACGTTGCTGTTGTCGTCGTCGTTGTTGTTGTTGCTGCTGCTGTTGCTGTTGTAGATCCGAGTAAGTTAAAAGGTTTCGATGACCAAAACGACGAGGTTTGAACTTGCCAAGCAGTCGGAGAACCACCGGACGTCACAGCCGAATAAGACAATTTTGGAAATGAAGAAATTTGAAGTTTGGTACCCGATTTGCTGTTGGAAGAACGATTTTGTTCGGAACTAGAACTGGATGAAAACGACGCCGATAAATTTTCGTTTTGATGTATTAAACGGTTGTAATTGGCATTTTTTCCCATAAAAAACTCGCATTTCTTTTCGGGAAAACTTTCTGTAGATTGTAAAATGGAAAATTTAAAAATTTGAAATTTTACGTTAAAAAAACAAAAAATCAATTTCAGTGGACGTTTGAATATTAATAAAAAAGAAACCGATTTTTATTTTTTTATTTAAAAAAAATACAAAAAACAAGAATTTTTTTTTTATCATCCGAGAAACAATTATTATAATATTTTGAAAAAAAAAGAAGGTATAGTAATGGAATCATACAACCTAAAAGTATCTAAAAAAAAAAAAATTACCGTCAACATATTTAGCCGATCGATTTCTAATAGTGGAAGAAACATTGCAACTTTGCAATGCACATCGAACGGTCCTAAGTTCTTCACTTAAATTTTGTATAGCAGAAAATTCTTTGGATCTTGTTGGGTATCCAGTTTGAAGCCACTTGAGTACGGTATCGGGTACCTGAAGACTCGAATGTTCGGGAATCGACAATTCTCGTCGATTAATCGAACTGAAATCGTAATGGAAAATTCAAAAGTTAATAATTTCATTTAATATTATTGATATTTATATAGAAAGTATAAAAAAAAAAAATAAATAAAAATTATATATATTAAAAAAATTACATATTTGGCGTTAAGTAGAACACAAAAAAAATAAAATAAAATGAATTCGGTAAATATATTATATAAATGGGATAATGTCAAAAAAAATTTTTTTTTTTTAAATATTTTCAATAATTTAAATACCTGAAATAAAGTTTAGTAATTATGAAGAACCATTTTCGAAAAAAAAAAAAAAAAAAAAAAAAAAAACAATGAATTGTTTATTTATTTATTTATTTATTTATTTTTCTCTCTCTCTCTCTCTCTCTCTCTCTCTCTCTCTCTCTCTCTCTCTCTCTCTCTCCCTCTCCCTCTCTACCCATTATTTTTAATGTTGGGATCAAGTTTTCAAGTAATTAACCGTATAAATAAATAAATAAATAATTTTTTACAAAAATAAAAAAATTCATTTAAAAAAAGACAATATGTATATTGCCTTGTTAATAATGAGAGGTTAGTGAAATCTCGTCCATCTGATGATCTTTTTCTTGCAACGGCCGACGACGACGTTTCCGTTTTATTTTCGGTAGAAGGTGACGTTCTCGATGATGTTCTAAGAGTTTGTCTCACGTTTAAATCTCCTATACTTTCAACCAAATGAAAAGATGATGCAAAAGGATTCGGAGAAGGACCGGATAGGGATGCTGATGAAGAAGGAGTGTTTGGAGGAAATGCCAATGTCGAATCGGTCCTAAGAGTATTACTTTTCTCGGTGGTGGTATATTGAACTTCGGAAAACGGAGGACACCTCTGTATTTATAGATTTTTTTAAGTAAAACTGATTAAATTTCTTTGAAGTTAACGGTAAGTTTATCATCACGTCATTGTCGTGTAATAGTCAAAGTAATAAAAAAAAAAAATCTTTCTTTATTCATTCTCTCTCTCACTCGTGAATATAATAATGAAAATTTCAAGCACAGATTAAATCTTGAGAATGATTTAAATCAAAGAGACGTATAAAAAAAAAAAACAAAGTAACCCACTTATTTTTAATAACCATTTAAAGAATTTTTTGTTAATTTTAATATCGTGTTCGCGTATGCAGACATATAAAAAGTAGAACACAAACAAAATTATGCTGGAACTATATCCAGGCGGGGGAAAAGAAAAAAAAAAAAAAAAAAAAGGGACTTACCAATTGATGAATATATTTTTGTGCGTTTATAAAATGCATAACGTTTTTTATTGGATTTTCCCAAATATGTTTTGTAGAAGTTATTCTCATTTGAAGTTCTAATTGATTGAGATCGTCGATTCTATAGAATGGGTTGGGTAAATAAATTGTTTCTAACGTTTCTTCGGCATCTGAAAAATAATTTTTAACTCTTTAACTCTTCATGTTTATTTGAACTAAAAAAAAATATATATAGACATATATATTATTATTTTTCTCCACACCCTCCCCCCATAACATTTCTTTTAAACTCTAAAACAACGATTTTAATTAACCGGATATTATAAGTGAAGAAAATCGTAAGGTGAAAATTATATAATTGGAAAACTCTTGAATAAAATGTAATTGATTCAAAGAGAATGAAAGGTTTTAAGGGATGGGTTTACACACCGAATATAAAATTCAAACAATGAAATGGCATCACACAAAAATTAATGTTTTTATTAACACGGTGATTTGATATGGATACATTTTAATTTAAAATATTATTGAAATCAAGTAATGATTACGTTAGTACATCAAAAAAAAAAGAAATTGCCTTTCAAATCTTTTGCGTCAACAAGTTTTTTTTTTTTTGTTGTCGATTTTACCTTAACGTATTTATTAAAAACAACCATATGTTAATAATTATTTACTATTACTATAAATAATTGCATTCGAAAAACAATTTGTCATAACACACACATACACGCACATCCTAAATATTTACCGATTGCATGGGGCTGACATTTTTTAGCTAAAACGGGATACTTTTGTTGTATAGATTCTTCAACTTCGACACAATCGACCGGTTTAAAACCATTATAGAGATCGTAAGGTTGAGAACAATTCAGGGTCAATTTTCTGAATTCTTCTTCAACGTCAGCCAACATCCAAGGTTCCTGAGGTTTTTCATCGTGTGAATTATTCTGATCTTCGAAAAATTGTAATGATTTTTCTGTGTTGTACATCATTTCGCGACAGTTATCGTACAAGTATTGTCCATAATAAGATAATTTGCTCTGGGGTATAACATCGCGTACAGTCACCACTTTCCCTTTTTCCCCGACCTAACGTTTAAAACAATATACATATATATTCAAAAATAGTTTTTCGTTATCAACGGTCACTATCAATATATAATCCAATTTTTTTTTTCTTATACAGAACATATTGTATTTATATAAATACAAATACCTAAAGTACATTTATTATTTGATCAAAAAAAAAAAAAAAGTAGAAAAAATTACAATAGGTTTTATTAAATGAATAATAATAACGATCACATTTTACGAACCCAATGCCTTAAAAAAATGAATGTCAAAATGTTAATTAATAAAATAATATCTTTTCTTCATTTTATTTAATAAAATATTGTAGATATCTTATGTGAAAAATGTCAAAGACACAAAATGTACTTGTATACATAGACAATATAGACAGCTATGTGTAGACAACTTTGATCAAATTAAAACGTGTAATTAAACTAATTATAAAGATTAAAAATAATTATAAATTTGATTTTCAAGTTCAGATAAATAAAAACATACACACACAAACACCATTTTATATTGGTTTTTTTTTTTTTTTTTTTTTTTTTTTTTCAATTGTCTAAAATGCCAAATAAGAAAATATGTTTTTTTTTTTTTTTTTTTTTTTTTTTTTTTTAAATATGTATATGTTATTTAATGTTGAAGTACAGAAGAAAACATAAACATTTAACAAAAAGTATATGGTTTCCTTTTTTTTTATTGATTTCCCAATTGAAAAATGTCAATTATATTGAAAATAGTAAAATTCGCTTTAATATATTTATCCATATCATACAATATATAGATTTTAATTAGGTTTTTTCATATATGTACATATATATATATATATATATATATATATATATATATATATATATATATATATATATATATATATTATCAGTTTATACAAAAAAAATAAAAAAAACAAACAAACAGTAAGACTTATTAAAATTCTATCAATTAATATATTATAAAAAATAAACAATAAACGTCTCTTTTTCCCTTAATTGATTGATTGATTGATCGATTAATTAGAAACACAAATAGAGGTATCGATTTTCATAATCAATTTTGAAAGTATCGATTCCAAAAAAAAAAAAAAATAATAATTCAAATAGTGAAAACCCTAAAGAACAACAATAATAACTCATTGCGTGACCTTTACAACACCCCCGCACGCACACACACACACACGCACACGCACATATTTACCAATGTAATTTCCTAAATTATCAAACGGAAATAAACGTCAGAAAAAAAAAAAAAAATTTATTTTTATTTATTTTATTTTATTTTTTTTTCTTTTCACGATACTCGAATGGAAATACTCGAACCGACATTAATGACAAAAAACAAAAAAAGGGGGACCCAACCTGATGATGTTTTTTTTCTTTTAAATAATTCAATTTCACCCAAAGTTTATCGCTACTTTTTTGAAAGCCATCACCCGGTGTGTCACGCCATGTTGTGTTAGCATCAAGTCCAATATTTGCGTAAGCCGTTTCCATCATCACTTATTTTCTCAATCATGGAAAGTTCTATTCCAAAATTCGAAGGAAAATTCAATATTAGTAAATTATTATTATTATTTTTTTCGTTATTGTATATTTTTTAATACGTCAAAATTTAAAGTGAAATTTAATTTTTAATTATCTCTCATTCAATTTTAACTATTTTCAAACATTACAAAAAAAAAAAAAAAAAAAGAAAATTAGGTAGTAATTATTTGACAAAGAAAAAATGGGTGAAAGACACGAATAAAATTAAATTTCGCGTAAAATTATTAATTACTTTCAAACAATAAAAAACAATAAAATAATAAAATAATATAAGGGAAATTAATCACTGATGCAAATGGTTTTCATTAATAATTTTTTTTTTAAAATAATAAAAACCATATTAAAATACATTTTTTTTTTATTTAAATGTGACATTAAATAATTGTCATCATTTAATTAAGTCATAGTTTTAATTTGTCCCAGAAAATTCATAAACAAAAAAAAAAGAAATGTTTTTTAAAAATAACAGACTCATTTTAACTAAATTTATATAAAATCCAAATTTAAAAAAAAAAAAAAAAAAAAAAAAAACAATGAAATACTTACTTAATATAGCAAATAAATAAGAACTTCCAAAATTTTTTTTTTTTTTTTTGTAATCAAAGTAAAAACAAGTCTGTTTTCAATAAATGAATAATATCCAATTTAATTTTGAAGTCTGTTTGTTTGTTTATTTTTTTTACTCATTTTGACTGTGTAATAAATCATTGGTAGGGTAGAAACCCTGTTCTTTGTTGATATATTAAACTTTAAATACTTAAAAATGAAAGCTTTTAGAAGAAAAACATTCTTGTAGGAGCATGAACCAGGTTTGGAAACAGAATAAAATATTTTTTATATTGCTAACAAAAAGAAAAGTTTATAAAAATAATACCTGATCATCTCGACTTAAATTTATAAATTTTATCGCAACACAAACTCAAACAATTTTATTTTAAATAATGTTTATTTAGTGTAATTACAACCACTGAAATATAACATAAATCAAAAGCCATAAAATCATAACATCTATGAAATTTATATTTTTAAATAAGTTACTTATAAACAATTAAAAGTCAAAATCATAACATCAATGATTCACATAAATATGGTTGTGTAAAAAAAAAGGTAGGACACCCATAAACAAAGACGAAAAAAATTTTTAAAAATAAATAAAATGCCAAAACACATTAATAACAAATTAGCAAATCTCATCATTCAAACCCAAATAATAAAACATTTAATGACATATACATATGTAGGCCAGAAAATTTTTTAGAACATTTTCACATGTTAATAAAAGTTTCAGTAATAATAATATATTTCAAAAAAAAAAAAAAAAAAAAAATCAATAAATTTCATTTAAACTTTAAGAGTACAGTTAAAAAATGAATTTTAAATGACGTTAATTTAAAACATTTTTGAATGTAAATATATATATTTTAAATGAAGATACAAGATTGTTTGGACGAAATTATTTAAAAAATTAAAATTATAATAATAATCACAATAAAAACTTAATTTTTTAATTAAAAAAAAAACATTTTTTATAGAAACTTCCCTGGAGAAAAGTATTACCAATAATATTAACCAACTGAATGACGAGCATATATAATTTATTTTATCATTAAGTATAATGAAAAATGAATGAAATAAAGACCAGAAAAAAATGAATAAAAAAAAACTTACCTATTGGTGAAATAATTTCAAAACATTTACTACAAATATATACATAAATATATAAATAACGATATTTATATGTACACGAATAATGTATTCACTGATAAATAGCAATATTTTATCTATGAACAAAAAAATTGTCCAAAACCTCTGACTAAATGCATAGAGTAAAAAAATGTCTGCATCGTCGTCCTAGTAAAAATGGCGGGAATTTTAACTTTTTTATGAACTTTACTCATATGATACTCTGTGTAAATATTTGATATTTATTTTTACACGAAAAAAAAAATAATAATAATAATAAAATCTAATAATTATAAAACTCAGGAAAAATAATAAAAACTTTCTTATACACCTCTGATAAAAAAATAATATATATTATAGATATAAAAAAAAAAGTATGTTTGTATTTTCCATTTTTTTTTTAAATTAGTAAAACATATAATTCCGTATGCTTAAGCAAAATTAAATAAATTGTTATTAAATGCATAATTAAAAATACTATTTGATTAAGATAGTTTTGAATAACTTGGAGGAGCAATTTTTTTCCTCAAGTTTTTAAGTACATACAAGGGTAAACAACTAACACCAGTTATGACACCGACTTTCCACATGAAACTCAAAGTTTGTATAAATTCAGCATCTGAAATTAACAAAAAAAAAAAAAAAGAATCGTTTTTTCAATTACTGCTCAAAGTATTTATAAATTTTAAACATTACAACTTAATTATTTACCAAAGTAATTCTTAAAAATAACAAGTGTTAAAATATAAAAGGAAAGACTTAATATTTCTGCAACGACCATGAATCTATGCCAAGTTTGAATAGTTAAAGCGACCATAACGAGTTCGGTTAGAATTAAAGCCGTAAAACTGATACCGACAATATGAATAAATTCATCTTCAAAAAGAATCAAAGCCCCATACATTATGACACCTCCTATGAAAAAAAAAAATTAAATTTAGAACAATCCAATACACACCAACCTTATCCAATACAAAAAAATCCGATACGATACCTTGATACATGCTTATTAAAACCCAAATAAAAAATGTTTTCATAGACATTGATCTACCCTTGGATAATTCTTTATAAAGTTCGGGATAAGTCAATGCAGTTTGCGAATTAACATCAGAATCGAGAACTAATGAAAATACGGGAAACATCGTGTAAACGGTCGCATACCTACAAATAAATTTTTTTTTTTTTTTTTTTTTTTTTCACATCAAAAGTATTTAAATTTATAATAAATAATCATTTAATTTGAAATAATTGATTTTGAAAACTTACCCCACCATAAGAAATCCTTGATATAAAGCAACGCTTGAAAAATAAAACACGGCGGAAAATATGGCTTGCATGACAGATATTATAAGTCCTCGATGTACAATAAATTGGCTAAGTGCTGCTGATCTATTGTAAGAATATCGACCGTGAACTAGAAGAA